ATCTTTTTTCCAAGATGACCTATAACTATTAATGATCAGTCTTTGGATCTGGGAATTAGATCAGCCACCTGTCCTAAACTCTAGTGCACACCTATCCATGCTTTTCACAAGAACAGTATAAGAAACTTTGTCTAAAATTGTGCTAAAAACTAGGTAGAGAATATTTACTGCAGCAGTCCACTTTCCCTCAACTCTCACGTGAAAGGAAATAAGGTTAGTCTGGCACACATGTTCTTGAGAAAGCCAGGCTGAGTTAATGTAATCACCATTTCTTTTTTCTAGATGTTCACTAACCTTCCCTTTCATAATATCTTCAATGACTTTGCCAAAAGAGTCAAACTCACTGGTTTATAAATTGCTGACTCCATTCTCTTTCCCGTTTTGAAAATTATTCCAACATTTGCCCTTCTCTGAGGATGCAGCAGTCTTTAAATTTTCTATGATCTTTCAAGGATCCCTGCTTGGGATCAGAAGTCTTACCTGCCAGGGTTTTTTTTTCCCCTTTCAATATTTTGGGATGCAGTTCACTTAGCTCTGCTAAGGTCAAATAGAAGTTGTCTTATATCTCCCTCCTTAAGGTGGGTTTCAACATCTAGGTGGCCATTTTTTGTTGGGTCTTTTCTAGTTCAAAGATTGTTCTTTTTGACATATAAAACAGAGACAAAATAAGAGTTGAGTAGTTCTTCCTTTTCTTCACGGTTTATCTTCCCATTACACCTGAATGATAGGTTATGCTCCCCTTTTCAGTCTTTTGTTTTCCCCAATAAATTTATCTTGTTTCTCCCCACTCTACCCCCACCACCTTTAAGTATTTAGCATTCCTTGCCAACCTCAGCTCATTCTGAATACTGTCCCTCATCTCTTGCCAAAATTTAGCCCTGAATGACTCCAATCATCTGCCTCCTTGGCTTCTACTCACAAGTGGGTGAAGGCAGCTACAGAAAATATCACGACTGTGCTGATTGGGTACGACACAAATTCATGTTAGCCAACCTCAACTGGGCCTTCACTGCAGTAAGGTGGGCCTTTTATTCATCTCTAACTGATTCTCTATCTCACTCTCTACCAAAGCTACTCAAAACCTTTTCTTCCCTCTTTTAACCTCCCTAAACTCCCCTTTCCCTCCCCTCTCTCAGCTAAGGACCTTGCCTCTCACTTCTCTGAGAACTGAGGCTCACTTTTCTCCCATTCTCTTCATCTCAAAACTTCCTGACATAATCTCCCATTGTCTCCTCCTTTCCCCAAATCTCTGAAAAAGATGTGGATTTTCTCTTTGTCAAGGTCAAAACCACTACCTGTACATATCATCTCATTCCCACTCATCTTCTCCAGGAGACTGTATCCTCAACAATACTCCCTCTTTTAAATCTTCAACCTTTTCCTATTTATTGATTCCTCTTCTACTGTCTTCAAACATGCCCAAATTTCTCTCCTCCCCAAAAACCTTCCACTTCTACTATTCCTTCAAGCTGTTGTCCTAAATGTCTCCTCCCTTTCTCAAACTCCTTGAAAAAAAGCTGCCTATAATTACTGCTTCTACTTCCTCTTCCCTCCATTACTCCTCAACTCTTTGTAATCAGATTTCTGACTTCACCACTCCAACTGAAACAACTCTCTCCAAAGTTACCAATAATCTCTTAATGGCCAAATCTGATGATCTCTTCTCTCTCTCTCTTTTTTTTTAGGAGTGGGGTTAAGTGACTTGCTCAGGGTCACACAGCTAGTTAAGTGTTATGTGTCTGAGGCCAGCTTTGAACTCAGGTCCTCCTGACTCCAGGGCTGGTGCTCTATCCACTGTGCCACCTAGCTGCCCCCGATCTCTTCTCAATTTTCATCTTTCTCAACTACTCTGTGGACTCTGACACTACTGACCACTCCCTTCTCCTGGATACTCTCTCCTGGTTTTTACTCTACCTGGCTGACTGTTCCTTCTCAGTCTTCTTTGTTACTTCTTCATCCAGCTCACACCATCTAACTGTGGGTGTTTCTCAAGGTTTTGTCCTAGGCCCCCTTCTCCCTCTATACTCTCCTGAGAATCTCAGCAGTTTCTGTGGTTTTAATTATTTATATGCAGATGAGTTACACACACACACACACACACACACACACACACTTATACACATACAAAACCATACATTATAATACTTTCCCTTCCTCCCCTCCACCCCTACCTCTCCTTACTCTCCCCCTGAATTTAATTTCTATACCACCAACGCGCCCATTGGACAATTCAAACCTAATATCCTGGAGACATCTTAAACTCAACTTGTGTAAAAACTTAACTCATTATCTTTCCCTTATCTCATTATCTTTCCCCTCAAATTCTCCTCTTTTCCAAACTTTGCCATTTCTATGAAAGCTGCCACCATTTTTCCAGTCTCCCAGGCTTGTAACTTTGGCATTATGCTGGACCCCTCACTGTCTCTCACCCAACAGACTGAGTCAGTTGACAAATTTTGCTGTTTCCACAACAGCTCTCGAATTTGACCACTCTTCATACTCACACAGCTATCAGTTTAGTTCCAGCTCTCATCACCTCTGGCCTAAACTACTGTATCAGCCTCCTGATTGATCTCTTTGTCTCCAGCCTCTCCCCACTCTAGTTTTTCCTAGACCCTGATGCCAAAATAATTCTCCTTAAGCTAATCAGATCTGACCACGTAACTCCCCTACTTGGTTGCCTCCAGAGGCTTCATTTTGCCATTAGAATAAAACATAAACTTTGTTGTTTAGCTTTTAAAGCCCCACACCACTGGCCCCAACCCATTTTTCCAGCCTCACCAGATATTACTCACACACTTTCCCATATTCTGCAATCCAGACAAACTGGTCTTCTCTTTCTTCACATTTGATATTCTTATCATCTTCATATGGCCATTCCTACCTTCCTGGAAAGCACTCTCCCCTTATTTACTCCTCAGAGTTTCTTTTCCTTTAAGTTGCAACTCAGGCACCATCTTCTGTAGAAAGCCTTTCCTAATTCCCACCAAAATACCTTGTATTTAAGTACTTTGTATTTATTCACTATCGTACATAATTCTACATGTAAATATTATATAAAAATAATGGGGGAAAGTCTCCCCCTTTAGAATATAAGCTCCTAATGAATAGGGTTTGTTTCATTCTTTGTATTTATATCCCCAGTGCCCACCACAATACCTGGCACATAGTAGGTGCTTAATAAAATGTTAATTCACACTCACACACTTTTGTATAGTCCTTTTTTCCATCCTTGGTATCTGTTTGGTATTAAAGTTTGTAGATGAGACCCCCCCCCCCACTGGTTTCTTTAGGCTTCTTCCTCTTCTATCCCTCAGTAGAATGGCTTCTCTTTGTATATTTGGAATTTCACTACTAAGAATTTCCCCATCCCTCCTCGGCTGATTTGCCCTTGTGGTTTTAGGCCATGGGATGCTATTTATCCTTTTCTCTGAAAACCTTTGAAATCTGTTCTCAAAAAATCCAGGGTATAGGTCAGACAAGACCCGGCTTTTTCCTCCTGCTCTACCACAATTTCTAACAGTGTTCCTTTCCTCATCTTCAGTAATAATTACTAGCATTTATATAGAGCTTTATTTTAATTTAATTTTTTTATTTATAAAGTGCTTTACAAATATTACAAAGATCTGATCCTCAAAATAACTCTGGGAGGTAGGGGCATTATTATTCCCTTTTTATAGGTGATGAAATTGAAGAAGACAGAAGTCAAATGACGTGCCTAGAGTCACACAGCTAAAAAATGTCTCAGGCTGGATTTGAGCTTAGGTCTTCCTGACTCCAGGTCTAAAACTCTCCTAGCTACCTCTTATCTCCACAGTTTCCATCATTTCCATTTCAGCAATCAAATTTTTTTCCCTTGTTGACAGGTCCAGAATACCAGCTGCTATTTTTGTTTCTTCTACCTTTTGAAGGATTCAATTGTTATTAAAACCAAAAAATTATTAGACGCTCTGTTTTGGGCAGAGATATCTCTAACAGATGTCCGGATAACGAAAGTCCCTCATTACTGCTATATCATAATTTTGGGACTTCCTTACCTGTTTTGTTTTCTATTCAAGGAGTCTCTAGTATATTTTAATGACAATATTGCTTATCTTTCTGGTTCCCTATGGTCTTTCCCAAAATGATCTTTCCCAAAATGTTCTCCATAATGTTTTTCCCCTATTTGGTTTCTGGATTTCTTCATGAACATATCATGGAATGCTATTTCAGCCCCATACTGTTTATAAAACGTGTGCTATTTCTTTTGAACAAAGCATACTTTTCCAGAATTATATTCAGTCACATGTCTCAACTCAACAAGGTTCACTGATACCTATGGGAGGCAGTATGTTGTATATTAACATCTGAAGACACAGATTCTATTGCTGGTTCCTTTCTTGGACTTCGTCTTTGGTGAATTTCTGGACATTTCTACTACTATTCTTTCTATATTGTAATTATTCTCTATGATCTCTAGCTTGGTAGATATGTAGATAGTTTTTTCCCTCTTCCTTCCCTGTTCATTTAAAACTCTTCTAAGTGGTTTTGTGAAGCTCAACGCAAATACATTTTTACTAGCCGTTGTACTTTATCCATGGTCATGAACCCAACACTCCCATATTTTAAGCCCTGGTTCAGGAATTTAAATCTCTATTTTCAGACGCTATTTTCTTAACCATCTATACCTATAAAACAAAGAGAGGACTAGATGTTTCTAAGATGCCTTCCACTTCCAAAATACATGATTCCATGAATCATAACCTATTTTTTCTACCTTCTTCTCTACCCTCAAAATTCCCTTTCTTAGCCCCACTTTCTCAACTATAATGTAAGAATTCAGTTCAACATGATACAGTATTTTTTTTTACTGGTTTAAAGGCTAAAAGTCTTGGTAATGTATGAATATTTTATATTTTAACATCTGGTCTCTTCTTGTGAAGGAGTCATATTAGAGTTACAGAATACATGATAAATATATTAATATGAAATATTTCTAGTAAAGTTAATTTTGATCCTACCTGGGATGTCTAGTTTTATGGGCTGTACCAGTTCTGGCTGCTTCAGCTGATTCCCAAAGTATACAAACCACTCCTTTACTATGGGACAGGATCTGCAAGTATCTAAATAAAGACAGTCAAATCAAAAAACCTCCATGAGTTGACATCCATTACAGTTGGCAGTGTGATGAGAACGCTTGGTGTTTTCTACCTAGATTTATTAGCCACAGCAGGGCTACAGTCAGGTCCTATTGTTGCCCTTGAGTTGTTTCAGTCACATCTGACTCTCTGTCACCCCATTTCGGGTTTTCTTGGCAAAAATACTGGAGTGGTTTGCCATTTCCTTCTCCAGCCTATTTTACAGATGAAGAACTGAGGCAAGTAGGGTTGAATGACTTGCTCAGGGTCACACAGCTAGTAAGTGTCTGAGATTAGATCTGAACTCATGAAGATGAGTCTTCCTGATTCCAAGCCCAGTGCTCTATCTAATGTGCCACCTCGCTGCCCACCGTTAGGTCCTATTAGGTCTTCTTTTTGAGTTCCCATATCTAAGTGTTATAAAGTGTTTTTTTTTTTGTTTAGCAAGTCAATAGGTGGCTTTCTGCCCTCAGAAATGTTATACTTAACAAGCCCTGGACTTGGAAGTCATAGTAGGAAGAGCTAGGTTCAAGTCCCACTCAACCATGTACTAGTTAGGTGACACTAAGGAAATCACTCAATTTCTCTCAGTCTTAGTTTCCTCATCTGTAAAACTGGTCCAACAATATTAGCCTTAAAACAGAATTATGAGGATTGTGAATGTGAAAACACTCTCTAAACCCCAGAGTATTATACTTTGTGTTACACTTTAAGATACTATTTTTTAAAAATTACTGTAGTTATGAGATATTTCAAAAGAAGTTAAAAATTTCAAGTCCTAAAACCTTGGCCAGTTTTTGCACTTAGAAAACATTTCTGAGATACAACAATATAGAAGACAAGGAAGATACAAGTCTAAGACACCAAATAATATGAAGAAAGCACAAAATATGCCAATAACTGCTTCAGTCAATATTCTCTCCCTGTTTCAGCAATTCACTTTTTTTAAGTCAAGCTTTTGTTGATAGTCTTTTCATGCTTATATGGCCTTTTAATAAATGTCTCTGGATTATTAGAATTAAAATTACAGGGTATTTACACTTCCTATATTGTAATTACTCTCTATGATCTCTAGCTTAGTAGATATGTAGATAGTTTTTTCCTTCTCCTTTCCCTTTTATCTAATTTCATTTATTAATAATTAATTCATAATTAATTTCAACTAATTTTAAAAAATGTTTTGGATACTTTATACTTTTAGGTATCTATGATTTCATCAATGTCAGTATTCCTCCCCATTTGTGATGCAGATAACAATCCATATACTACTTTTCATCTTATGCAACTCTTGTCTATATACATCCTATAAAGGGGGTTAGCACAATGTACTAGAGGCCTTCTTCTAGTACACTGCCTGTTGATACCAATAGAACACACGGGCTGTTTAGTTATTCTCTATTTTTACTGTTTACATAACCTCTCTATTTCCTTTTTCACTTCTACATCTTTCTGATAAGAATACTTCTCCTTCACAGTTATGAGTTCTGTTGCCTTACTTTAAAATCTGCTTTGCACCTCTTTTTGTGGTGGCAAAGAATTGGAAAATGAGGGAATGCCCATCAACTGGTGAATGGCTGAACAAGTTGTGGTATATGAATGTAATGGAATATTATTGTGCTATAAGAAATGATGACCAGGTGGACTTCAGAAAAACCTGGAAAGACTTGTATGGTCTGATGCTGAGTGAAGTAAACAGAACCAGGAGAACACTGTACACTGTAACAGCCACATTGTGCAATGACTAACGCTGCCCTTCTCAGAAATGCAAGGATCTAAGATATCTCCAAAGGTCTCATGATGGAAAATGCTATCCACATCCAGAGAAAGAGCTATGGAGTGTGAATGCAGATCAAATCATACTATTTGCTATTTTATTTTCTTCTGTTTTGTTTTGTTTCTTCTTTCTTGTGGTTCCTCCTATTGGTTCTAATTCTTCCTTATAACATCACTAATGTGAAAATACGTTTAATCACAATGTATATGTATAGTTTATATCAGATCATGTGCCATCTTGGAGAAGGGAGGCAAGAATGGAGGGGGAGAAAATTTTAAAACTCAAAAGCTTACAGAAGTAACTGTTGATAAATCAAAATAAATTAATTTTTAAAAATCTGCTTTGCAACTATTTACCCTCAAATAAATTCCAACCTATCAATGTCATAATTTTCAGTCAATTTCTCCAAGCTCCAAGTGGGATTCTTTTCCCATTTATTCCCATTTACTTTTCCTCACAAACAGTAGTTCTTCTGGTTTTGCTTTTTTTTCTTTTTGTATTTTTCATAATGATCTTTCTGCATTTCTTTATTTTTTCCATACTTGTTGAGCTTAACTGCATTTATTAACATTATAAATCACAATTTATTTTCAAATTTCCTTAACTTTGGATATTTAGGTTGCTATAATCTAGCAACTGCTTACTCATGTTCAGACTCCTTAAGAGTCTGCCCAATATGATGGATATTCTAATAAACCTTGTCTTTGGCTGAAAAAAAATATTTTACATAGTTCTAGAAATGTTAGCAAAGGCATTTAGAGAGGAGAAGGAGATTAAAGTAATCACACTGGTAAAGAGGGAAGAAATTACCCCTATTTGGTGGTAAAATGGTGGCTTACTTAGAAAACCCCAAAGAATCAGCAAAGAAACTGAGATATTAGCTTTAGCAAGATAAAATATTAGCTTTAGCAAATTCTAGATTTTAAACTATATAACATAGTCACACAGTCATCAAAACAACTTGGTACCAGCTAAGAAAGGGAGAGGTTTATCACAGATTAGGTATGCAACAGAAACAAAGGAGCACAGTACTATGGTGTTTGATAAACCCAAAGATTCCAGTTATGAATATGGTATATCCCATATATATTTAGCTGTAAGTCAGACAGCAAGGTCCAGTGGTCCTCAGGCAGATGATGATACAATTTCTTTATTGACTTTCCATTAATAAAATCACATGTTCATCCACTATTCAACAAAAACTACTGGGAAAACTGGAAAGTGCTCTGGTAGAAACTTAGTGTAGAGTAACATCATGCCATATACCAAGATAAACTCCAAATAGGTACGTGATTTAGACATAGGAAATGACATCATGAGCAAATTAAAGGAACACGGAAGAAATTACATGTTCAATCTGTAGACAGGAAAGAGTTCATGACCAAACAAGAGACAGAGATTCACAGGAGTCAAGATGAACAATTTTGAATATGTAAAATTAAAAAGGTTTTGCGTAAACAAAACCAATGTGGCTGAAATTAAAAGGGAATCATGAAATTGGGGTGATAATCTTTGTAGCAAATTTCTCTGATAAAGGTCTCACTTCTAAGATATAGAGGGAAGTGAGTCAAATTTATAAGAGTAAAAGCCATTTTCCAACTGATAATGGTCAATGGATATGAATAGGCAGTTTTTAAAGGAAGAAATCCAAACTGTCAATACTTGTGTGAAAAATTCTCTATATTAGAGAAATGCACATCGAAATAAGTCTGAGGTACCACTTCACATCTATCAGATTGGCAAAGCTGATTAAAAAGAAAAATGACAAATGCTGGTGAGGCTATGGGAAAACAGGTACTTTAATGCATCATTGGTGGAGCTGTGAACTAATCCAACCATTCTGGAAAGCAATTTGGAACTATCTTCAAAAATCTAATAAATTGGGCATATCCTGTGACCCAGTTATACCACTACTAGGTCTATGCCCCCAAAGAAATCAAAGAAAGAGGAAAAAGACCGATTAGAAACTGAAGCGGTGCTCATCAATTGGGGAATGGCTGAACAAGCTATTATATATAAAGGTGATTAATACTATCGTGTGGTAAAAAATAATGAAAAGAAGGTTTTAGAAGAACCTGAGAAGGCTTGTATGGATTGATACAAACTGAAGTAAGCATAACCAGGGGAATTTCTACAATAATAACAATACTATAAAGCTAGACAACTTTGAAACATTTAGGAGCTCTGATCAACACAATAAACATGCTATCCACCTTCAGACACAGAACTGACAGACTCAGAGTACAGAGTGAAGCACGTGTTCTTAGCTATGTTTGTCTCCTTAACATATACCTCACTACCACTGTATTTTAAGTTCATACCTATTTTCTTTCCCCTTTGAGTCTGTGTGTTTTCTTTGGAAAGTAAGCCCCATGTTTCTGAGAAAAATGTTTTGGAACAACTATTGTTACTATGCCATTTGAACAAATGCCTTTTCTAAAAGCTAACTGGGTCTGCTGGCTGACTGAGCTTGAGTAGTCACACATATGAGTCACCCCTCTGGGAACCCTAAGTGCCAGTGCCAGGGTAAATTTGGTGTTATAGTAAAGAGGTGGCAAATACACAAACAAATAATGTTATAATTTAGGATTTATAGTACTTGACAATCCTCCACTAAAATTCTACTCTAATACTTCACTGTAGTATAGAGGTGACTAGGGGTCACTGACATAACACAAGATCTATCAGGTCTCAACAAAGGGTATGTGCCCATTACCTGACATTGTCTATCATCCAAGAACCAGTCTAGCAAAAGTAAGAGAAGGTGGTGCATTTTTTTAGCTACAGAAACTCATTGTGGAGGGATTGTGATCTGTATTTGGTGTAACAACAACAATAATAGCTAGCATTTATATAGCACCTACTATGTGTCACGTATTGTGCTATGCACTTCACAAATAATATCTCATTTGATCCTCACCACAACCATGGCACACTATTATTATCATCACTATTTTACAGTTGAGGAAACTGAGGTAAACAGAAATGAAATGACTTGCCCAAGATCACACAGCTTGTAAGTATCTAAGGATAGATTAGAACTCAGGTATTCCTGACTCCAGGCCCAGTATTCTATCCACTGTACCACTTAGATCATGTGGATGAAATTATGCATCTATTAAAGCCTGGACATTTTACTTGATAGTATATTTGCAAAGCATTTTATGGTTATATCTAGATGAAAACAGATGAAGAAGTCCACTGTATTTAA